CATTGTGGGAAAGTGTGTAGTGTAAGTGCCTCTCCGTCTTATTCTTCAAGTTATACTTTCTTGACGACAATATGACGACAGAGGGCAGTGACAGCTCTTGTAGTCTCTCACATCATCCTATATTAAAACCTCTACTTTTTGCCCGCGGATAGAAAGCGCACACAGCTTAATTCTCTAGTGGTTAGAAGCAGTCTAATCGCCATGCAACAATTCTCAAGCACCGTAATGTTCGACATACAGTCGCCGACAAGACATAGGTATGGGCGACATGAAGGTTATCTAAATTAATGCATGCATGGGAAAATAATAGAACAAGAAAACCTGGAATTACAAGTCAGAGTTTAGAATTAATTTTATGCAAATCATATGTCAGATCTGTAATATATCAAGTACCGTCTACATCAGCCCGGATGGAATGGCCAAACATCAGTCAAGTAAGTTTTAAAAATTCCTCAATGACTTTAGGGTATATCTATGTAATGATCTCCAGACGTCTGTGACGTGGTTAATAGCGAAATAAAAACCATCTTTTGCATACCGACGGATATAAAGACCTTTGGGATAATCTGCTTATATCAGTCTTCTGGTCCCAGATATGACAGTCTTAAATATTCACACGGTGTCTCTTTCTCCCATAATATGAAATGGTCTCTCGATTCTATTAATCAGAATTTCAGATATGACATTAGTGTTATACATACATAACCGTTACCTTTCAAACGGATAATTTCTTTCTTCTGTTAATTAAATAATTGCCCTTTAAAAAAGTGACCGGATAAGAAAGTCTTGCTTATCGGATGATTACTGTAAAGATGTTGTTGTTTTGTTGGTGAGTCCAATTGGTGGTTCCAAGATCGGTATCAGAATGTAAGGGGTATATCATAATATATTTGTTGAGTTACCGGGTTTCAAATGAATAAAAATGATACAGCGTTCAGCCCTTTAACCATATTTGGATTTGAAGTAAAAGTTAAAGTGAACACGAATTATGAATGGAATGTCGTCAAAACTTCAAAACCCATATAGCCCGAAGGTTATCCAAATTATTAGAATTGGATTACAGGCATTAAAATGTCTTTATAATCTGATTTTGTTGCGGGTTTTAAGTGATAACTCTTCGCTGGTGCTGCTTCATGTTTTAGTGTTGGGTTTAATAATCGATGTTAAACTCGTTTAACCGAATAACCGTAATATTCCACGATGGCATTCATAAGAGAGTATAACATTACCCAAATAGTCCATCGTATTCAGCAGCCTGCTTATATATTTGCAGATCTCCACCCGACCCCCCCCCCCTCGCACAGCCTCAAGGGAAAAGGTCCTTTTGCTATTTTAATTGAGATTTTATATTACGTTCATGCTTAAAGGGCAATATTGGTGTCAGTCATTATCACATATATGTGATAGAACTGGCATATATTCCAATAATTTTAACACACAGATCATTGCTACGATGACATGTTTTTATCAAGGAATTATCAGTGAGCTTAAAATCAACCGTGTATCTGTTATAGCTCTTTACTTCAGTCAGTTATTTATAGAAGGATAACTCGTGTTTACCCTTTGCTTTCGTCACTTCCGTTTCTTGTAATCTTTATTACGCATCTATCGTAACAATAATCCGTGTGTTAAAATTAAATTTGGAACGTGTTTAACCAGTTCTATCACATATGTGATAATGACTGAAACCAATATTGCCCTTTAACAGTTGTTTGATAAAAAAAAAAATGCTTTTCGGAGGGGGACGGCTACCTATGGATCCACCATTGCTTTATTACCAAGTTCTAATGGGCTTGTAGGCTCTTCAATCAGTACCACCCTCACACGATCAATAAGCAATTTATTACCAGTTCCCAGGATCATTAATTATTCTTGTGAGCAAAGGATTAAAGACAGACATCATCATATACCGTGTAACATAACTTTATTTTGTTTATCATCTGTGTAATATTATGAAAAAAAAAATCCACATATCTTTAATTTATTCATGATATAATAAATGTTTCCGAAATTGGTTCATACAATATTAAGAAAGAGCGAAGCATCAATAATACAAAATAGTTACAAATAAAGTAGGTTTTCAAATTTATAAATTTAACTCAATCACTTTTGGAAAATAAATAATTCTATTAAGTTATTAAAAAAACCATGTAACAAAAACAAAATAATTAGCTAAAATATATTTTTTTGCAAATGAAACACTTTATATTTCAAAGTTCCATTGTGATATATTATTTATTTATTTATTTAAAAGTTAATTACTATGAAACAATTGACTGCTCCACGTTGCACACTATTTAAGGTTTCCTTAATAATCGGTCTAACACAGATGATTTCTGAAAAAAAGAAAGGTAAAAACAATATAATATATTAAAGTCTCAGGTCGTCAATTGGGGGCTTTATAATTCTGTGCAAACTAAATATGGTGAACGTTGAAACTCTAAAAAAGAGAGAGAGAGATAAATTGGGTTTAACGTCCACTGAACACAGACTAGGTAATTTCGGGACTAACATATGGTTTAATTTTATTTCAATAATTCGCTTGCGCGTAGGAGTCTTTAGCAGTGGGAGGAAACCGGAGTACCCGGAGAAAACCACGAGGTTGGACAGGCGACCCTACTCCTTGTCACGTACAACCGGGGATTCGAAACCACGCCAGTTGACTCAATGACAGGCCTTATGATACAGCACGCACGTGCTAACCATTCGGCCATCCAACCCCCCTCTCTAAAAGGAATATCAGTCCTAAAATGGTTCAGTTCCATTCAGTATTTACAAAAATGTGATAAATTGGAAATTTGTGAGCATTCGGCATCCTCTATGAAATAGTCGTTATAAATGTGATATGGTCAAAAGGCTAACGCTACCTGTAATCTTCGCTAAAATCTGTCGATGGACATCTTATAATCCCATTATATATACTATTCAAAAAAAGTAGGGGATATTTGATTTTTAAGTGTTATTAAAGTCACCTAATGAAACTGACGAAGAAACAAATGACAAAATGAAATGAAGTTCACATTCATCGATTTATTCCAAATGATCGTTAGACTAAGTAAGGCACATACTGACCATTATAAGGGTAAAATGATACCCGGGGTCAAACAGCAAAGTTACCACAGCATCACAACCAGGTCAGTAACGGGTAAATCCTCCTCTGTTTGCCAAACAAGCATTGATCCGACGTGGCATACTCCTAATGAGACGTCTAAGGTCATTTTGGTCCAGATTGTCCCATTCCTGTTGCAACGCAGCAGCAAGTTCAGAGACATTGGCCAAGGTAATGTGGTGATGTTCTGTTGTTGGAGGAAACCTGTAACGATTCTGGACCTGTGACATCTTGCGTTGTCATCCTGGAAGATGAAACGGCGGCCATGACGTCGTGCGAACGGCACAACATGGACTGCCAAGATGTTGTCCCGGTAGTACTGGCCTGTAACACGCCCTGCAACAACATGTAAAGCCGTTCTTCCAGCAACAGTGATGCCTCCCCACACCATAACAGAACCACCCCCAAATCGATCATGTCTGATGACGTTAACGTCTTGGAAGCGCTCGTTTCGACGACGCCACACCCTCCTACGTCTGTCCAAAAAATCAACAGTGAACCTTGACTCATCTGAAAACATCACATTGCTCCAGCGTCGATTATCCCAGTGTTGACGATCCCTACACCAACGACGTTTGCCTGAATGTGATGATCTCTCAAACAAGGGATCACGCGAGGACGTCGGGCGCGAAGGTGACCCCTATGCAGTCGATTCCGAATCGTCTGGCCACTCACTCTCACACCAGTGTCTGTTTGAAGACGAGCGCTGATCTGATTTGCTGTGATGACACGATTTCTCAAGGCCAAGGTACGGATAAATCGATCCTGGGCTTGAGTTGTCGCCCTTGGTCGACCTGAGCGTGGTCTGTCCTGTACAGATTGTGTATCACGGTATCTGGACCATAGCCTGCTTATGACAGACTGAGAAACATTCATCGTCCGCGCCACAACCGCCTGTGTTGTGCCGATCTGTAGCATGCCAAGGGCACGTAACCTTTCATTTTGGGTAAGCCGACGCATATCAAAATTTGTTTTCTGGTCACTAAAACAATTAAACTGATGTTTCCACCCTGGAATTCAATGCCACAATGACTGTAACATTCAAAGTCAGAGTCGTGCAAATCTTGGGTTGGACCCCCATGATGATCCCAAGCATCACCTGCATTCCATGCGGTAGCTATTGGTGCGTTTGGGCGTCACATGTAACTGGAAATGTTTCTTCTGTTAGGTTCTATAGTGACTTTTTTCGTAGTCATTTGCATATTTTAGTATTATGCCCCCAAAATCAAATATCCCCTACTTTATTTGAATAGTATACAAGCCCAGAGATTACATATCGATGATATTTTGACTTTGTTCTATTAATTAAATGCTAAATAATCACTTTGGGTACATTTTATCATGGGTTAAGTGGGAAAATTGTACATTGATCGTATTATTAACACATCCCACTGGGGTATTTGGGATATACTGAAGAAACATTATTGTGTGGGATCAAGGACGTCAGTATAACCCTTCCCGAGGCTCTAGTAAGGCAATGAACGTTTAACAAAATGACTGTATCTGCTTATATGAGGTACTTTTCCGATGGTTTGAAATTTGAGGTAGTTTTTTTAAGATTTAGTTTTCTAAAGGTTGGAAATTTTACCGGAAGCGACATTCTAACCCCACTCAAATTCATTTATCAAATTAGTTGAGAGAGATAATAATATCAGGCCACTGGTATAAATAGTTCGAAACACATCTTTTCTCGTTTGTAAGTCATTGACCAACAGCTTTTGATCGAATTACAACTGTTAACAGTTTCATTGACTTACTTCATCCGATTCCTTAGGAACACATTTAGTAAAGAACACGTGCTCCGATGATCTTCCTACCAATTCTTCTAAACCATCACAACATACGGCATCTGGCAAACATCGAGATTGTACATCAGGTTTAGAATCACCCATAACTACCCATTGAGTTTTTATTCCTTTAGGACAGCAGTCTGTGTGTAAATCTGTAGTATCCAAATTACCATTATTTGATCGACCCATGCGAGGAAATGCTAAATAACCCTGTAAATATAATCAGACATATACAGTCAGGTTACGATAGGCGCAATAGTAATACCCATAACAAATTATATCGTGTTAATAAATAAACTTAAACACGCATACGTTAATTCTTTTAAATATTATTCTGCAATAGTATATTATGCAATTAAAGATTATTGATGTATATATTCTAAGGTAAATCACCTTACAGTGTAAGTGACATGAAAAAATTCTAAAATAATTGATCCAAAATGAAAAATATCTCATCTATAATAAATAAAATGTAAATAAAATCTCAACACATTTACACGACATTTTACAGCATGCAGTAGCTATAACATATATATATATACTAATAAAAACAGATATTGCATATTACCAATGATGCTATAAATAAAGACATTTGTTTGTATTCTATTTGATGTTTTGCTCATCCATTTACAAATCTTTATATGTTCATCCAAACAATGAGTGCATTAGCTACTCGAAAGGTGGATGGCATTTGCTACCTATCTGCACATTCGTTTGATCTATGGTTCATAGGTAGTAAACCCTTGGACAAATTCAAATGGCATGATGAAACCTGTTAAGAGTTCCAATATTTCGTTTTATTATTCCTTTGAAATCCTATTTAATGTGGCCGTATGTGCTACCATAAAACATCTTTAAAGAAAACCAAATTACAATAGTTCCTAATTAGATCAACTTTTAAAAATGAAAAATGGTTAAAAAGTAAATTAAGAATAAAAGTTGTATAAGGGAAATGGGTTATTGTAAGATTAAGTTATGGGTTTAAAATATCTTGAAGTCAAATCTATAGTGAGAAGATAATATGGCGATCATTTATATATGACTCTAACAGAATGATAATATTGTTCAGTATATTCGGTATATTACATAATTTTCTAATGCGTAAAAAACACTATATTTAATGTGTGTATACAATACATGCTCAGATTTCTGAATAAAGTGTGGAGCACTCGACATTAATAATTTGAAATCGACACCAATCTAGATTGAATACTGTATTCATTACATATGATCTCAATATTTATTGGGGGCGGGGGTGGGGGGAATGGCCGAATGGTCGTATGGTTAGCACGTGCGCGCTGAATCATACGATCTGTCTTTGAGTCAGCTGGCGTGGTTTCGATTCCCCGGTTGTACATGACAAGGAGTAGGGTCGCCTGTCCAACCTCGTGGGTTTTCTCCGGGTCCTCCGGTTTCCTCCCACTGCTAAAGACCCCTACGCGCAAGCGAATTAATGAAATAAAATTGAACCAGGTGTTAGTCCCGAAATGACATAGTTTGTGTCAATAGGACGTTAAACCCATTTCTCTCTGTGTGTCTGTGTGTCTGTCTCTCTGTCTCGCTCTCTCTCTCGCTCTCTCAGTATTTATGCCATTATGCCGTTATAATATAGTAGGTATCAAATTTTGGTTTATTTTACTGGCATTACTAAACTTTAAAGTGGGAGTTAAAGTCGCCGAAAAGAACTTATTAATATATTTATTCAAATAACAGCATAGCATTAAAAGATTTATCGATAAATGCTCTTACATTGTAGGCCTACAGTATTAAAAGACAATGTGGATTGACGACGGGCATAGGTGACGTTGGGATACTGTAGGTTTATAACAACCCTAAGATCATCATTTCGTTTCTTAAATCTTGGTTTTAATGGAATGGGGATTAAAGACCGTGAGAATTCGGTTTCGATACCAACAGGTGATTAATTTTGGAGATCGTTCTGTAGCTTGTACTTTAATGGTTATGAACATTATTTCGACCAAACCAGAAGTTATTAGGCATACATTGACGATCACTGATGTGTAGAATATGCAGATCTATAACATATCTGTCTCCCTCGGTCACAATTTGCAATACTTTAGGCGATATTGGCCAAAAACACACGGTGATTAATAGACCGCAAATTGTTTAGAAGGTATTTAGCAGCATTATTATACCATTGCCCTAGCAAATTAACATTTTTGCTACAATCCTTATATGCATCAAACAGAAAGATATTCAATCACTGTGTTTATTCATAGGTGTGTACAATACGATAATGATAATTCGTGGTTCGTAAAAAGTGATAAAAACATCAAAATACAAGACACTTGCATACAACTTGATTAATGACTTATTTGCCACAGTGTGGAGTCGTGGACACATAATAAAACATAAAATAGAGCGAAAAGTCCATTACTTGTACCAAGAATATCAATACCTTGACACTATTAGACTAATATCAAAAAGTGGAATATTAATTAGAAAAATATTAATAGACAAAAGATCTCTAAATAAACAAATACTTTAAATTCACATATGGCGTGAGCAGGTCATTTTTATAAAACTTAAATGGAATATCAAAATATTATATACCCATGCCGGAAGTGTGAGTTTTATTTAGGATATTTGAATGTGATTGGGGAACAGGCTTAGCGTATGTAAACCCCCTCTCCTTGTCAAGTATAAATTGACAACACCTAGGGGAGTTGTATTTTAACTGAAACGTTATACCTACCACCCCCGACCTAATGTAAATGCATATAAACTGGAGTATAGGCACCCCCTCACATACACATTTCCCTTGCGTTTCATAATAAGCTTAATATTCATCATCAGGCGCATAACAATATGTGCTTAATAACAGATAATGTGTTGCAATGTGAATAAACTTTATTTCTAAAATGTGACACCAATTGAAATGTGAAGAAATCCAAATATGTGAATACCATATTTTATAGCAATCACAATACTAAATTCTTACCCGGTTGAATTCAACGTGAATCGTTAAACAGCGTACAGTGTGAATACCATAATAAACTATACCACAAGATATTATTAACACTCGGTGAAAACCAATGAACATTGCAGTGTGAACGTCATTTTACATGGTCAAGTGATAATCGTTACACATGAATACCATTACACAATTAATAATCAAACATTTCACTGTGAAATATGAATTAAAATATTAAAGTGTAACAAAACATGCAGACTGTGTAGTCATTGGTGATGATTTCTCTTTACTCCAGTGCCGAGTGTGGTTTTGTTAAACTTAAAATTTAAATACCCCGCCATTATCTGTTAATACAAAAATACCATTTCCATTAGTTTCATTCATCAATATATATCCATCATTTGTAGAAGAAACAGTGTGGTTCGGACTTTCATTCGGTTCAATAATCAACCGTGAAAGGTCAGTTATCTCAGATCTGGGAAAGAAGTTGATCATCTGATTCTTCATTTGATCAGCTAATGAATCTAAATGTATTAAGGAGCCGTTAATGGGATTTTGTATCGAAAATAACTTTGATCTTTTTGAATAATTGGAATCATTGTCAGTTGCCAATCTTTCTCTCGGCATAGGGAATTTATTGCCCTTTCGAACTCTTCCACCTAAGGTTTGACTGGATATTTCCATTAATTGTGACTGATTAATCGTATCGGGTTGCTCGAACAGGAGAGGATCGCTTTTCTTCTGGAAGACATTTTTCGGATTCTGTTTTAAGTTTTCTGTTAATCTCGGCATAGGGAATTTACTTCTCTTATACGATCCTCGATGTTCAAATTTGTTGGAAATAACTGTTATCCTTGGCATGTGGAAAATTCGTTTTTCAACATTGCTGTGACTTGAATATATATTGTCATTTGTAGATATCCTTGGCATCATAAAATGTCTCTTTGTAGCGGAACTTTGATCAGATAGGTCAGTTATTCTTGGCATCATAAATTTACTTCTTTTAGACGAACTTTGATCAGATAGTGCTGTTATTCTTGGCATATGGAATTTATTTCTTTTAGAGAAACTTTGGGAGGTGTCCTCCGTCATTCGTGGCATGTGGAATTTACTTCTTTTAGAAGAACTTTGGTAGGTCTCCTCCGTTATTCTTGGCATATGGAATTTACTTCTTTTGAATTTGAAGGAACTCGATGGGAAGTTCTCCGAAAGTCGTGGCATATGGAATTTATCTCTTTTAGAAGAACTTTGGTAAGTGGCCTCTGTCATTCGTGGCATATGGAAGTTACTTCTTTTAGAACTAAAACTTTGCGGGAAGTTCGCAGTCATTCTTGGCATATGGAATTTACTTCTTTTGGAAGAACTTTGGGGGGAGTTCTCAGTCACTCGTGGCATATGAAATTTGCTCCTTTTTGAAGAACCTAGCTTCAACTGTTCCGTTAATCGAGGCATGTGAAATTTCGACCTCTTTACAAAATTTTGAGTCCAATAGTGTTCTTTTGTTACCAAGTTACTTATCCTTTCAGGTCCCTTGAGAGTAGAAAATTCTGTTATCCGAGGTAATGGGAACTTTTTTGTCCTTTTATCTGAAGATTGATTAGGAGGTTCTCGTATCCTTGGCATGGGGAATTTATTGTTATTTTTCTTCTCGGGTTTCGAGTATTCGTTATGCCCTTCAGAAACCGGTCGAAGCATGTCTGTAAAGCTTGGTTTCCGAGGAACACTCGCTATGTTATTAAAAGATCTTCTAGGAATGTCACTATGTAATAAATCCTTATTTGAAAGGCTCCCAAGGTGAGAATCAAGAAAAGAAAAACCGTTTAAAGTTTGGTTTCTTATTTGCAGTAAAAGTTTGTTGGTTAGTTGGATTAACATAGGTGCCGTGATCCCTTCAAGTTTGTTGATGAACATTGGCACAGACAAATTGTCAGTTCTTCTGGATTTATATGAACCACTGTTAGTATTCTGAAGGTTTTGATGGGGTTTATTCGTTTCAGTTTGAGAATAGAATTCCTTAAGATTATCCCACATTTTAAGATCAAGCACACTTCTCTTTTTCCTTTTGAATTTTGGCGGTACAGTCTCTGCCTGGGTTAGAAGTGACTTTTCTAGACCACTCTGCGCTTGATATTTAGATATCCCTTTCCCCTTCTTCCGTGGCATAGGGAAACCTCTTTCATGTATGTTGCTAAGCGACTGTAAACATATATAAATCAAACAGTAGATGCTAAATTATCTATAACAAATAATTGGCAAATCAATAAAAATCGATATAAAAAAGAAAACCCACCACCACCAACAACAACCCAACACAACTCGGAACGACATTTGACTTTCTGTCTATATCCCAAATTTTACTTTTGTACGAAAATAAAATTCACAATTAGAAATTCAAAATTTCTAACAAAAACAATAAACCCAAAATAGGAGATTCTTATAGAAAGAATTCATATAATTCTGTAAAAATTTAATAAACAAAATTACCAGAGTAGAATGTGTTTGTGCATAGGTGCATGGGTAATGCAGTGTTGTTGTGAATCGGTTAATATAATGAACCATTTTGGTTGTTTTCCAAAATGCGCGGAATAAATAACGCTTTACGGAATGCATTGAACAAAAACTGATAACAATAAAAACGAATCCAGATTTTATACACTAGTAATGAAATACCATCTGAATACATTACGAATGGAAGTGAACTATTTATATATATATATACATTTGAGTACACATTAAGTTTAAATCAAACATATTTTGTCAGCGTTTTATTAAAAGGTTTAACATTTTGTTCACAAACATAGATTTTTACTAGTTTTAAGAGACATTTAGGACGATTTCCGGTTTAGTTTACCATGGTAATTTAGACGGTAAAAGTGCTGAATAATAACTATATTTCTTGACATTATTCATTTATATCACAAATGTCAATTGTTTATATTGTTTTGATATACTAGTCTGACCTGATCATGTGATATAAAATCATGCTGAATTCTTTAAGTCAATATATTTGAAAATCTGACCATAAGAGTACTTCAATTTAAAATACATTTATCAAGCCCTTCACGTAATGCCCTGCATATTTCGTCATTTATTATTTAGATTAGCTACTGTCCCAGCTCCGGGCTTCCCAGATTCCTTGATAGAAAATATCATCGCGCTTTCTTGCGCTTTCCAGCTAAAATGTCTACCTGTGATAATTGAGTTGCAAAGTTCAATGTCAAGGTGGAGATCGCCATGTTTGATCTGAGTGTGTTTGTGTCACGGCCTCTGATTGGACAACGCTAATGTTGACGTGTCTATGGTAAAGGGAGATAACGTACCTATAAGTTCGGGGATTTCTGACTAATCTAGCTACGGCATGATATTGCAAAACTCGCAGTCGTTGCTTCAGGAATATGGAGTCTATCCTACGACTATCCAATTATTAAGCCAATCAGAAATAAGAACAATTTAGTTTTGTAATTTGAAATTTGACTAGCTATACAATACAAAAAATTGTGTTAAAGGATCCGTTCCAGATATCTTATGGCGTATCAAAAGAATGAATTATGCTTGTACGACTCTATGAAACCTTTTGAATGGATAACCTGTAAAATCTGGTACTGATCCTTTAACTTTCAACATCTATTAAATAACCTTTGAAATTCGGTCTCTTGTCGTCAGGGGAAATCGGTTATACATAATTTTCTACCCGAATAAAATTAAAGAGCACATAAGGTCACCAGACGACATTTCTGCATTTATAGCCAGTGGTCACTATAATACACTTTACGGCAAATTCACACCAACCTGATTTAAATTGTTCGACATATCACCGTTTTAGTATCAAACACCCGAGAATACTTTTCAATCTTTTAATTACAGCCTTAATCCGGTTGATTGACCGGTGACGTCACAATATACACTATTAAAGTCTTTTCACTATCCATACACACCACCAGTTGACTAGTGTATATTGACGGCTCAGTTAAAATACTTACTGACCTAATCATTACCTGATTGTGTAAGCTACAAATCACTATAATTCAAAGCATTTTTAAGAGCTGACATTTCTCGTCTTGAATTGTAATAGATTACATACTTTAGACTGGAATAATTTATAGTGAGTTTTAAAATGCCACATCATCGTTGTGTTGTTGAGAGGTGTGGAAATTCCAGCAAAGAAAAGGTACATAATGTACCGTCAATTCTCTTCCGTCCAAAGTAAAGACATTCTCGATCATGAACATAGACAATTCCTTTCTTTGATTTGTTTTATTATATAGAATGAGCTAAGAAAGATAGTGGAGATTCCATTGTTTTAAGAAGCTATGGAAATCTAGAGAAGAACTTTGTAACTTTTAAAAATTCGGTCTTATTGCCTGTGGGAAGGACAATCGCAGAAAATATTTTGGTTAATTCAAGTCGAGTGTTCGTTTACTTTACGTGTGCGTCAATGTGTATACACCAGTGAAGGCATGGGTTAGAATATCGCGAAGATTTTTCTCCACCCAAGCCGGGATTCGAACACCGGGCATTCTAGTAGAAAGTCCACCACCGTGCACCCCACAATAAAACAATGAAAAAACAAAATTATGTTTGAAATAGACCAGATTTCAATAGGTAGTATTTCCTCTACTTTATTATAAGCTTATAGTATCCATCTGGGTGTACATAGTTTACAATGAAAGATAATACATGAAATATAGTCAAGGTTATCAGGTACTTATGGGTATTGTTTTTTTTAAATATAAAACTGGGATGTACATATGGGGACGGGTTGTGCGGGTTAACATCGTGGAGAATTCTACTGCAAAATTTACCCTGAACAAAGAACTAATAGGCACTGGTTATTTACTGTCATTTTTTTGTTTAAGACATATTGCAAGACAACGAAACATACGTCAAGCAGTAGCTTAGTCGTTCGGACTATTTATGACTATTTTCATCTGTCTATTGTTTTGAAATACTGATTTTAATTACTAGAGCAATAACTCTACAATAATTGCCGGTCGATTCTGAGTTTCGATATGCTTAATCTTTAAAACTTGTCAGACATTAAAAAAACTTTAAAAACCAAAATCTAATTAATATATATTGATTGAGTTCCACATAGACTTTGTGAGTTTATAAATAATAGATGACTGGACGCTGCCTTAGCGTAATCGGAAAGACTGCGCTTTCATTGGTTGTTTACAGATATGACCCAGAGTGTGGATTGCTACATGTAGAGCAAAAACTCACAAGTAATTGATGCACTGCAAGAAATTCCAATAGGATTATTTCTACTGACTATTCAAATAAATCAAAATAGTCAAACACAACTTATCACCGGTAGAGGGATAACGATGAGTTGGATGGACCGTAGGACAAGGGTGACGACAATATTCCATCACATTAACACATGAGCGAAACCTTTTAAAGACTTAGAAGGCGTGAGCGGTAAATTGTAACTTTTGGTGTATTAAACACCCACAGAGGTTGAAAATCAAAATAATTTGCAGTAAAATTCTTTATGTTAGATATATATTGACGACCGCAAAACGTTTACCAATGAAATAATTTGATTTTTGAATCTCAAGACCAGTAAGCTTCAATGTAGTTTCTAATTGGACGAGCATTTTATCTCAACATAGGAATAAACCCCTCTATATGTCTGTCAATATTTGAATAATTAGCTTATATAGACCGAAAGGTAGATTTGACAAATTTCATTCGAAATAGATTTAAGGCATAGGCCGAGGTGGCAGACATTTCCTTGCAAATAAAACAGTTCCTATTATTCGAATTTAGGTTTAGTGTAATCTAGTACTTTCTTTCTGCCATTTTTCATTGGTTATCATTTTTGGTCTGTTAGTATTTCTGTGGAATGTGGTAAGAAAGGCGGGGTGGGGTATTGTGCGTTTTTGGCTAAAATAGTGGTTTAATGATATCATCAGTTCTGATTAAGGTTGAGTTTAATTCTGATTTGCGACATCGTTGTGCTGGAGTTCAGTTTTAGGGAAAGGATGTACTGGGTATAATGTGCGCATGCGCATCGTGTCTTAATGCCTACCATTTCGTCACCGCCTAAAGCACGTCTTCCACGCGGGAAAGCAAAAGCCTGGCCATTATATCGGCCATTTGATTTGTCATTAACTGATCTAGGCTGCAAAATATTTAAAATCATAATGAATTAATATGAATAAAAGAAAACATAAAAGCCCTTTCAAGCAACTAACACTATCTATACTAACTATATAAACCTATGATACAAAATCTAATAGTGTTCTAGTTCTAAACAAGTAATAATTAAATATAAAATCTAATTTTAAGTATAACTTAAAGATTCATTATGTAAGAACTTAATCTGCCTATAGAGGTCTTTTTTCTGGGTTCAAAATTCAACTTTCTAGATTATCAGATGACTAAGAAATTACGTGGATTAGACAATATCCGCCATATCTTCGTTAAATGTTAATCTGGAAAGTAGAGAACATTTAGTCTAATTCTTGCTCAGAATAAAGTAATTTGTTGAAATTTTCTATATATTCATTAACACTATCTATTTTAAAGTAATCATTGCAAATACCTTCCGCTCTTTTTCTAAATCTTACATAACGTATCTTTAAATGACTATATATTACACGTTACAGTCTACTATTGAAAGCCGTTGAGAGTGAATTTAGGAGTCTGAAGTTCCAGGTAGGCTACGCCTATGAGAAAATTATTAAACATGATTTAGCTAAAGAACAGTAAAGAAGAGAACAAAAAAGAGAAACTATGTTTATGAAATCTAATCTTACCGATCTGCCCATTCTTGGAAATGCCAAATAATTCTGAAACAGAAGAAACATTGAAATAATAAATATTGACTATTGTACTTTAATTCCAGTACGTTATCATTCCTTGTTGGTTGTCACTCTGTACACGATTCCTTGACTCTGATCACCTGAATGAAATCACATTGGTCTTCCACTTGACCCTCTACTAATTTAACTACCCTTGGTAGTCGTGGGACTATAATTGTCGTAACACTACAAAACCGAGACTATACACAATTGCCAATCAAATATTAGGTTTAGTCATAAATTTCGAATAAAAAGCAGCCAATGTACTTATGTGCCCAGATGGCCAAGATCACGTTCTTTGGAAAAGTCTCCACGTAATTCAAAATCTATATAAAAAACCGCCAAGCACGTGATTAGAGTTCTTCTGAGATTTAATTGCGACAAAATCGGTAACAGTATGTCAGATAAAAATGTGCATTTACCGTGTTGTGTGATGGGGTCTGAAGATATTTCTTTAATGGTTTCTATTTTTTTATTATTTTATGTCAGTTCCCAAAGCTACTCTATTGGTCGGATCAAGACAATTGATTCTTGTATAGAAAAGGCGATAAAAACAAATCTCGTCAAGAAATGTCTTCCACAATATTTTATCTTAATTTATAATGCTATGATACCCAAAACTACATGTACATAGAAAAAGAACGAATCGTGAAAACATTTGTCTGACTGACCTACATCACTCGAAAACACTTAAACGGGGCGCATATACAATAGAATGTATAAAACCAACAACTTAGAATTGCCTTGAGGATAAATAATGATGATGAAAAGAAAAACTGTAATTTAATATACTTCTAATAAAAAAACTGGTTGCAAAAACTGGTTGTAAAAGATGCAATATAACTTGACAGTAATCGAATGTTAATGTGGTATTGATGCTACTGAGTCGAACAAACCAAGGTCAGCCATATATTAAACATAAATTCTCACCATTTATACAGAGGGCGACAATTTATATCCAGAAGAATTAAATGCCCTTGACTCACCCACCCATCAAATTCGTCCAAAATACCTTTGAGATCCACATACATAAGACTGGACAAAATATGACCAAGCCTAAGATATGTGTTTTATTGTGTTTTGAGTTTCAGGAACATGATGGGATAGAGTATAAAAATATAATCAGGGTGATATGAAAAAGATATGAATGGTATTTCTTGGGATCTGATTTTATATACAGAGCAACCGAATCTTGAATATTTGATAATACATCTAAGTGCATTATTAATATTCCATGGTTTATATGGTACTTAATGTTGAAATTCCCACGACAATTTCACTGCGGTACGAAACACTTAATAACAATTAATTTAAATGTTCATCATAAGACAGATAATTGGGGAGCAGGTTGAGGGGGGGGGGGGAGCTCATTGAATTAGATACTGACTCACTAACCAGTTCGCTGGCGGTGTTAGCCGAGAACGATTCTCGACGTGCAGGAATTGATTGACAAGGCACGGCGTTTAATCAGTCCGGATGGAACGAAAAACCGTGTACACGTTGGTGTGCACGTAAAAGATCCCTTGGTAGCTGGGATTCATAATAAAAGGACTCCATAACGACGCTGTTCGGGCAACATTTTCTTCAAAGCGCACTGCATGGTGTTTGTCTGTCTTCATTTCCCCGGTTGGGACTTTTTTTAGATTGGCAATTCCAGACTTATGTTGAAAATAGTGAGACATTTGAAAACATTATAAAACTTTTAACCAAACATAATCGAGACCAATTTGGCATTTTATACCTAACGATGCAATGGCCTTTGTTTTGGAGACATCGTGGGGTGTTTAACTATCGGTATATATCGCGATTTATACCAATCTATATGAATTGTAAATAATACAAACAATGAACAGGAAAGAATAATGGAAACCATTTCCTGACTTATTGAAATTGACATATCTCTTAATTCTCCATTTCTCGTGTCTCTTGGGTACACCTTAATTCAGACAACATTTAACAAAATAACATTTTGGTGTCCGGTTTTCATATATGAATACAAATTGAAGTTATCAAAACATAAAACAAAATGTTTGAACAATATATTCAACCCCTAAGTGACGTGTAAGTCATAACGCAAAACTGGCCATTATTTTATACAACAATCTCCTATAGGCAGTCTCAACAGACATCCTAATAAAACTAGGTCCTGTGGTTAAGTCATTCCCTCAATTAACATGTTACTACAAGACACACTTTTCTGTCAATTCCCAATATAAATTATTCTTTATATAAATTGGAACCAGAAATGACCAGATGGCTCACTCAAGTATATATAGTAAGAGACTTGGTTTTTAAAAGTTCAGTTGTAAATCGGTGAAAAAGAATATCTTTAGATTTGATTGATAGCGTTGTTAATATTGATTTTGATTTTAGTATAATTCAATAATGCTCTTGTTAGATCCGTTGCACACTTTGTAGTCTTTACTAATTATTCATATCAAAGATCAATAAAAAAAATGAAATAGGATGTTATGGGAAATGATTCTCAAGAGTTGCGACCTTGTCTTAATTAACTTGTAAGTATTTTATAATTTATAGAGAAGTCAATCAAAGTGGATTAATTTATAGGCAGTTCTTTGGTATCAGTAGGGAAAACCCTTTGATGGACCTCGTCGTAAAAGATGCGCCATTATCAGTGAATGTCATAAAAATATCGAGACATCCCTGTTATCAGAAACCAAATTGTTTATTGTTATGTTGTACTGGAAACCTGCTATTTAATTCAATCTGGTTTAGTTTTTTTGTCCGATCTGATCTCAAGAACGCATCTGTGTTCACATTGACGTATGTTCTCTCTTTATCATTGGGTGTTTAATGTGTAGGCCGACATTAGTCAGCTAATATCGTTATCTGGAAGACCATGAATAGCGGATTTCTGAGAACGCAAAAATCTAATATCTACGAGCGTAAATCGTTTTAGGCGCCGCAAACATAATCCTTGATTTGAGAATTAACTCAAATATCAATGGTGGGCCCTTGCTTAACATTGTGTTGTCATCATATTTGTTATAGACACCCTGCAGTAAAACCACATTACACAATTACAATGCAGCTTTACGACTGGATAATCGGCTTAGTTAGAGTTCCATGACGAATGTACTCGGATGCTTAGATTTATTCTCGTGATTCAAATATAACCACAATAAAATCCCTACAGTGATAAATTGGTTCCAACTTTAATCTTTCCATTGAATTAAATTTGCCTGGTTTTGAATGAGATTTGGAGAATTGTATTATTTTTTATTTTTCATACAATCGGTTGAAATAGAATGTACCAGTATTGATATCTTATCCACAATGAGTTAAATTGCAATAGAAAATAACATATTTATACGTACAGACATCTTCGTATTACGTGTAGAATCGTATAATTAGTTGGTTTTGAGTTAAATGTATTCACACATTGACATTGCACAGGGCATACTTTATACAAAGTGGGTATATCATGTCAGAAGTTAAAATATATAGTTTAAGACCATACACAATCCAGAAAACTGTTATTAACAGACTTTTGATTCATAACTTATTCAGATCGACCAATTCTAACTGACAGATGCATTATGTAAGATTTAGATAAAGAGGTGGCAATTCTTTGCTATTATTTTTCAAAATATATAATGGAAAATGAATATATTGATAATTTCAGCTATGATAGAAGTTACGGGTGGCTACCTTTATCGGATTTCAAACAGCGGATGTATAACTGTTATCAGGCCTTACATCGGGAGTCGCCGTGATCGATGTCATACATTTCGGTTTGGGCGCTCACTACAACCGTGTGTGTGTGTGTGTGTGTGTGGGGGGGGGGGGGGTGAATGGTTAGCGTGTGCGCGCTGCATCATAAGGTATGTCATTGTCAACTGGCGTGGTTTCGATTCCCCGGTTGTACGTGACAAGGAGTAGGTCGCCTGTCCAGCATCGTGGGTTTTCTCGGAGTCCTCCGGTTTCCTCCCACTGCTAAAGACCCCTACCCGCGAACGAATTATTGGAATAAAATTGAACCATATGTTAGTCCCAAAATGACCTAGTTTGTGTCGAGTGGTCGTTAAGCCCCATCTCTCTCTCTCTCTTTCTCTCTCTCACTGCAAGCCTTTCTTGACGATATGGTGGAATTTCTCTAATCCACTCAATACTCAAACCATCCGATAGTCTAGAGAGTTGGCCATGGGCTTACCACTTGAATAAATGCCTAAATATTTTTTCTATAGTGTGAAGCTAGTGTGAAGCTAGATACACACCCTGCAGGAGGCAAGTTTAGAAGTATTTTCACATCGCCAGCTGTAGATGTTTTAGACAAACAAAATAATAATAATTTGGTTAATTAAAATTTGTCATTTAATCCAGCCCATCCACCTTGAATGTTTATTTACATTTGGGTGTGTTTAATTATATAACAACAATAGTTTTTACTTTAAAGTTGTAGATGTTTTAACTCTTGAGAATTTTATGGACGATCTGACATGTTGAGCCTATATTGAACGAGCAATATATTTTCAGTTTCCTAAATCAGTATGGAAATAAATCGATCACCATGTTCTAATACAGCACCAATATTAAACTGAAGTAATAAAACTATAGTTGAAAATGAACACAGTTTACTATAAAAATAAAATGTATTTATGAGAACTGTGCAGTAATTACTGTTTGTACACTCGTTCAACTAATCTGGTGTGTGAAGCCATCACTGGTATTATTATATACGACCATATATTAATGACTGTGTTCCAAGTCAACACATATCAGCATTGTTTGATGAATATTTGGTAAATATTTAATGAAAAAAATCTTCAAGCATTGTCACAGTGTCATAAAAATCAGCACAGCAACGGTAATGTCGTCACGTGAATAAGGATTGCTATAACCCATTTATATTGAAAACGAAATGGCGATTACGCTGATCAAAAGTCGAAGCATTATAACCTAGATGCATATCTGCATATCACCAATTCTCACAGTATTGTACAAATCTTTCATACAACTCAACTAAA